TTACCTTCGAAAGTGTTGACGTTGTTAGACCTGTTTGTTGATTGTACACTCCGTCGTCACCAGACGAGTTTTTACCTGACGCAACAGCGGCCTCTGTTGTTTCCAAACGTGCTCTTTCAGACAAGAAGCTAATGTAAACACGGGTTTTAACGTCTACACTTTCAAACTCAACTATATTTATAAACGAAAAACATATAATAATAATACAAAATAATAATACAAAATATCCGATAGTGTTATCATTCGTTTAACGATCTAGTTAAACAGAAGTACGATTCGTTATCAGGATTGGATATGAACGGCCGCCATCTTGGTTGAACTGTCTGGAGAATTAATTGTCTTTTTTTTAAGGTACGGGACGGCCTTCAAAGCATACGCTTTAAAAACGTATCATTAAAATTACTTTTAATTTATTTAATTTGTTTAATTTGTTTAATTTGTTATTTGTTTAAACAACCAAATTATCCATTAAAAATTGTGTTCATATGTGTTCTGTTAAAGCAGCACAACAAATGTACAAAAACAGCTTCAGTCAGGGTCTTGGCTTTTTGTCTTTATTGATCGTCCTGTACGAAGGTAGTCAGACATATTAAAGGTGTCAGTGGTCATTGTACTGATGTGTAACACAGTGACACTGGTGATGAAAGTGATGTCATCACAGAAGAAAAGTTGATTTATTAAAAGTGGCTCCAAATGTTCCTTCTTTTATTCCCTACAGCTGTCTTCCCTACATTGTAATTTTAAAAAAAAGAGAAAAAAAGAAGGAACACGATGGGGGGGTAGGATGTAAGGAAGAGGGAGAAGGAACGGGGCAGTTGAGGAGGTGCTCCACATCTCAGTGCTGGATCCTCCTGATGGACTGAATCTGGGGAGTTTGGGCATGAGAGCCAAACTCACGGTAACACTTGAACTCTCCTCCATGACAGTCACACTCCATGATGTACTGATGTCCACGATAACCGGGGTACTGGTAGCACACAAAACTGGAGAAAAAAACCCAAGAGCAGATGAATCAACTGACGAAGAGCCACGGAGGTGTAAAAAGAAAAACTTCAAACATCTAAACATCAGACTTACGCTCCGCTCTGAACACGCATGGATCCAACCTCTTTGTTCATCCAGCCCATGGCCTGCAGGGAGGGGTAGTCGTCACACAGCTCAAACTGACGACCCGTCATGTTCTCCATCTCGTAAATGGTCATGCGGGAATCCTTGTGGTGCTGTACGAAGCGGAAGAGAAGCAGAGAGTTAGCAGGCTGCAGTCAGCTGAGGAGCGCCACGGTCTGGACGTTTGGACTCACGGCACAACAGATGGGCCTGAAGGAGATCATCCTCTCAATTCTGTAGGAGTTGCTGCCGCTGTAGGCCTCGAAGCGAGGGTAGTCTCCCTTCTCCAGGACAAACTGCTGGCCGCAGAAGCTGGAGTGTTCGTAGCCCACCCAGCTGTGAGCAGAGAGCGGAGTTAGCGGCGATCCCTTCTTGGACGTATTCACACAGACGTCAAAAGGGGAAATGAGGAAAAAGATGCCTGAATACATACGCGCCACACTCGACCTTTAGTGAGCGGACGTTCTCCATCCCACACTCCATGATGTTCTGGCAGCAGGCGGTGAACTCCATACGCCTGCCCTGGAAATACTCCTGATCGTACACAGTGATCTGTGAAACACAGAGAAAGGAAGTTACTTCATGAAATTAGCTCGATATTAAAATAAAATTCTTCATAAATGTTGACCACGTGACATTATTAGACTCATATTGACTGATGAGCCTACCTTCCATGGGCCCATGGGCATAGGGTTTGTCAGAGCCATGTTGTTTTCCAGGAGTACCTGTGAGGAAACAGTCGGAGCAAACACTGAAACTGGACACAAAAAAACAAAAGATAAACACATTTGATACAATTACCTGGAGCTGTTCTACAATCATTGATCCAATATTGTTTATTTTATTTATTTTTTCATTTTCATTTTTTTGTCCTGTTGTTAATCTATGGATCAAAACGGTGTGAATGTAAACTAGTCCCACCTACCCAAACCTGAGGGATGTGTGTCGAAGGGTTCCACTGAATGGTCACAGAAGTAGTGTGTGTGGGGGTTTATATATACACAAAGATGGGGGGGGGCCAAGGCCGGGGCGGCCGCACCCCTCCACCCAGGTCAGCACTTTGCTTTGGACTCCGTTGTTTTTGCTGTGTGGGACAGAGCAGGGTCAGAAGACCAGAAACTCAGTGTGATTCAATAAGAGGCCAAATGTCTGTTCCTGTCTACTACAAGAGTTAAGGTAAAGAAATGAAACGCACGGTGATAAACAACTGTGAGGAAAAACATTAAGGGGTCGGGCAAAATCAGAGGTTTTGTTCTTTATTTTGTTGATTCTGTGTTTACGCCACAGACATAATCTTCTTTATTTTGTTGATTCTGTGTTTACAGTACAGACATAATCAGACATAATCAAAAATGCTTTGAACCCACGAATTAATTGGTGAAATCGATCAGAAAAAAGTTTTAACGAATATTAACACGCACCGTCCATCAACTCATCATTGTTCAACCCGATCAGAAAAAAGTTTTAACGAATATTCACACGCACCATCAACTCATCATTGTTCAACACAGTAAATACTCATGTTGTTATTTACACACATAGCGGACAAAGTTCTCTCGTAGATTCTACACGAGACCTTCAAGATGTACAAGATGATGTTTTTTTCACATGAACAATTCCACCATTTTGATTAAAAAACACCAACATCTACCTGCTGCTATTTGTCCTTCTGTCCCAGCCATATATTTGGGGCAGGTTGTGTTTTCTCTTGATTAAAAGCAATGTAATGGATGACGATTAATCGTGATTAATTGTGATTGTAATTCTTTTCTTTTTTGACTGTTTATTTTGTTGAGTGTGGATTATATACTCTCTGTCAGCAGCAGATATAATTGCCATTAATGTATGAAAAGTTTCTGACTCTACACCATTAAACCCTTGGAAAAAACCCAGAAGTCCAGAAATCAATATGTTTCAGGATCATTTTCATTCATTTTTGTGCCTGTGGTTTTTTTTTTTTTTTAAGTTGACGACACAGATCTGGCTGAAAGCACTGAACAAAACACACTGAGAAACGGCTCACTGAGGTCAGCACATAGCCCAGACTCTGTGTCTGTGTGTGCATTTGTGTTGTTGTGTGTGTGTATATCACTGTGTGTGTGTGTAATGTGCTTCATCTTTTAAACACTGAATATAAACATATCAGGATTAATCCCAGACAGATTGTTGTCACGGGCAGATTGAGGAGTACGTACAGATGAGGCGGTGACATTTTCCTGTGTTAAATGTGTGTGTGTGTGTTTTTGCTGATGCTGACAGCAGAGGTGACAAAGGGACGAGCAGACTCAGCAGGCTGACCTCACAGTGACCGCGCTGCCGCTCCACTGTGGTGACACAGACAAAGACAAACCTTTGTGTTGGACAGTTCACCCCGTGTTGGCAACGAACTTCTTCAATATGGTCAAAACAAAATGTCCTCATCTAATCTGACCTGGTCCGGCCCAATCCAATCATATCATATCAAATCAGATCTGATCTAATCCGATCTAAACTAATCGAATCTAATCTAGTCTGGTTATGTGCAGTCCAATCTAACCTAATCCAATCAAATCTAATCTAATCTAATCTAGTCTGGTTATGTGCAGTCCAATCTAACCTAATCTAATCAAATCTAATCTAATCTAATCTAATCTAACCTGTATGAACATAAACAGTTCTATCCACCAGTGTTGTTTTTCAGGCCACTCTCTTTCACAGCAGTTTGAATAGTGTTGGGTTTTTTTTTTTGTTTGTTTGTTTGTTTTTTACACCAGGTCAATAACCACTGTCCCAGTTACTCAGTGTCTCATTCACTGATTGAGTTACACACACTACACATCATGTATTCATGTATATCAATATATACTGTTTAGTGAGTTAAGAGTTTCTTCACTTCCTGTCTTGAATGTTTGAATTTTAACTAATTCTATTCTTTGTTCTTCTGAACAGATTTGGTTCAACACAGAGAACCAGGACAGTCAGGACAGAGATCAGCCGTCACAGCTTAATGATTAGCACAGTGTTGACCAATCAGGAAGGCAGACACCCCGAGGTCATCAGCTTCTGGACGACATCTATCGACCGTCATCTGCCTTCAGTGCTGAGGCCTGTGCTCATCTGACGGGAGACGGACGGCAGAAAACGCAGGGAAGAGGTTTATTTCTCTGCAGATTTTTCAGAGTCACAGGAGACTCATCTGTTCGTTCTGTTCCTCCAGTCGACATGAAGGCAGCAGCGCCCCTGCTGGCTCTCCTGCTCCTGCTGGACGCCACCCTCGCTGCAGAGCGTGAGTCGTTGTCCTAATCTAATCTCTTTTATGAGACTTTCTGTTGAAATGTTTTCATTTGTATGGCTCAACTCTTTTCCAAAACGTGTTTTGTATGGCTCAACTCTTTTCCAAAACATGTCAACAAGTTTTGTAACAATAATCAACCAACTTCAACTTCTTAATATTTTGGTATATTTTAAATGCTATATTTACCAACATTTATTTAATATCTTAGTAACATTTGCAATGTAGACTCTTTTCTAAATGTATTTATTTTTCTTTTTTTATTATACTTACTCTGACCCTTTTTTCCAAAACAAAAGAAACCACATTTTCACAGAACAAATACATGTCCACAGAGTCCTGTCGGGGTCAGTGCGGGTCCTTCGATCCACAGAGAACTTGTCAGTGCGACTCCCTGTGTTATTTCTATTCGAGCTGCTGCCCAGACTATGACACGGCCTGCCCCAAAAAGAGTGAGTACATCAACACTTTAATGATCAAAAACAACACAAGATTACAACTATACATTTAAAAACCCATGTGTCTTCTGTCTCCTGTCTTCTGTCTGTCTTCCTCCGTGGCCTGCCAAGCTCGTGGCGATACATTCGCGACAGAAGACGACCTCATCATAACAACCACGCCTCCGACCACGACCGCCGCTCCGGCTGCAGCCGAGGCCTTGTCTTCTCTGACCGCCAACATCACGGACGCACCTGTGGATCCGGACGCAGCGCCCTGCAGTGGTCGTCCTTTTGATGCCTTTCTGCAACTGAAAAACGGATCCATCTACGCATTCAGAGGTTGATCTGGAGCAGTGACTCCAAACATTTATCCTAAAAAAAGAACGCTGTCTATCGTGAAGAAAGTGTTGAGGCACATTTAAAAGTAAACTTCAAAATAGCTAGTACTTTGCTGAACATGTAGCAAATATTACTTAATGGCATGAACAAAGCCAAGATCAGGAGGAGCTCTGAAAAGCTAACACTGATGCTAACACGTTTTTTTCATTGTTTTTTTGACATTGTTAGGTAGATATTTTTTCGAGTTGGACGACAAGGCCGTACTTCCCGGTTACCCCAAACTGATCCAGGACGTGTGGGGGATGGACGGCCCCATCGATGCTGCCTTCACACGCATCAACTGCCAGGGAAAAAGCTACATCTTTAAGGTACCAACGTCCGTCTGTGATCCGTCGGTGACGAGGTTTCAGACGTCTGAGGACGTCTTCAGAATATCTTTAGAATATTTGAATACAAAAACCCTTCATTTTGCCAGAATATCTTTAGAATATTTGAATACAGTCCCTTCATTCTGTCACAGGGGAAGAAGTACTGGAGGTTTGATGGAGACGTCCTGGACGAGGACTTTCCACGGGACATTTCCACCGGCTTTGACACCATAGCGAACGACGTCGATGCTGCGTTCGCTGTGCCGGCACCGAGCTACCGAGGCCAAGAGAAGGCCTACTTCTTCAAAGGTACTTCAGAAGAATATACTGCTTGGTCTGGTACTACATTTTCACAGCTGACCTTGTGACCTCTGTCCCTACATCCAGGTCGGTTGGTTTCACTTTCTCCGATCTCCATTTTGGTCAATTTGTGAATTGGAAATTTGTCTTTTACTAATAAAGAAATTGTCTAGCGAGGTATTTACTCTTTTTTCTCGGGGTCTTCACCCTCTACTTGTGTCGTTTCAGGGGACAGATATTATGAGTATGAGTTCAAGCAGCAGCCTTCACATGAGGAGTGTGTCCAGATGAGCAGGTCGTCTCCATCTGTGCTGTTTACTCAGTACACTGACCTCTTCTGTGACCAGACGTGGGGGGACATGTTGGCTGAGTTCTTTGGAGGCATATGTAAGAAAAAAAAACATTTAAATGTTTTTCTCTTTCTGTTAAATTCATCTGATTTTTTTAGCTTGGTCTGTGGATTTTTCTCATCTTTCCTTCTCCTCCTCATCAGTCAGCGATCACCAAACCGGCCCTCGGTTGATCAGCAGGGACTGGCGTGGCTTCAGGCCGCCTGTAGATGCTGCGTTGGTGGGACGCGTCTCCATCAGCTCCAGTCCGACGCCCACGTCTCCTCCGATACCCAAGAAACGCAGCGGCTGGAGAAACAAGAAGGTCAACAAGAGACGTGGTGGACGCAGACGTCAGAGTCGCCACGTGTTGTTTGACGACTTCTGGGGTTTGTACGACGACTGGATGGACTACGACTACGGGGACATCTTCGCTGAGAGCGCCCCCCAGGAGGAACAGAAGGGCACTCCTGTTCAAAACATTTACTTTTTCAAAGGAGGTGCGTGTGAATTATTTATAAAAAAATCTCAGTTAAAGTCAATCTGAAGACTCCCGTCACTCTAACGTCTGGTCTGCTTGTTTCTTCTTTCTGTGATGACAGACAAATACTACAGAATGAACCTACAGACAAAACGCGTGGACTCTGCCAGCCCTCCTTACCCACGTTCCATTGCAAAATTTTGGCTAGGCTGCACGGATGAAGAGACAACAACAGCTGAATCAAGGGCAGAGAACAAGAAATAGAGTTTTGTTTTTGTTTTTTTTTAAATAGATAAAACCATTCAATAACAAAACCATCCACTAGGAGGGAAACCTGAATGTTGCAGAAATCCTTTGCATTTGACTAAACCTTAACATGTGGACATTGTCGTGGTCACTAAGTTAAATTAATCACTTTGGTGAAGTAGTCAGTGTACGGACCTGTGTTCTAGAACTCCAAAAAAAAAAGTTGAATGGCATTTGTTGTTGTTTTGTTGTTTTTTTTCTGTCTTCTAAAACATCTCATTCAAAATAAATATTCCACAAACTACAACTGTTTGTATAGGTATCTTTTCGTGTTACGCGCAGTTTCCGAGTTATTTCATTTTATTTATTTATTTTATTATGTTGTTTAATTGATTTACAATTTAAAAACGTCACAGAACTCGGTTATGAAAAAGGCACCGCTGGGATTCGAACCCAGGATCTCCTGTTTACTAGACAGGCGCTTTAACCAACTAAGCCACGGCGCCACGTGACGACACAGCGTACACGACGTGTTTTAAAACACAATACAAATACTCATAGTATTCAGTCATTCTGGTTTATTTCTGTCTGTAAACAACATACTACACCACATATGACATCTCAGTTATACCTGTTTCCTACACAACGTGTCCACAATAAATACTCTACGTATACTATATATTACTTTAGCTTTACTACCTTCTTACGCGCTGCTCTCACTTTTCCCGCTCTCTATCATTTTAGTCTCTACAATTCATTCATCAGATAATCGATCATGGCCGAAGAAAGGTCCAAATCCGCCAGGCTGAAGTCGCCCAGGTCCTGCAGGCACATGTCGGACAGGTCGTCTGGACGGTAGAGGTCCTGCTGCTGGTCGGTGAGAGCGCGAGTAGAAGACTGACGATCCACGGCAGAGCAGCGGCTGACCGCATGCTCCAGAGACCCGTGAGCGCCCCCTAGGAAATCCTCAAACTCCTGAGTGAAGTGCACGTCGTCAAGGTCCGTGTACGGGAAATCATCCCGGCACAAATCAGTGAAGTCCGGGGTTTGGTATTCATGCAGGTCCGGTAGATGTAGTCCGTTAAAGTAGGATGAAGTGGGCGATGTAGGCGAGGTTGAGGGTTTGACTCCTCCGTGACTGTCCAGGATGGAGGAGAGTCTGGTGGACTGGGGCAGACATGGAGCAGGGTATCCAGGTGGAGACGGCAGCGTTGGACTGGGTGGAGGAGTGAAGCCCTGACCAGGGTGGTGGTCCGCGGAGGACACGGTCGCAGGACCTCGGGTTGGTTTCTTACTCTTAAAGTATCTCGCCCGTCGATTTTGAAACCAGACCTGGTGAGAAATAAAAGTAAAATAAATGAATTAAAAAAGTTACAACATTTTCTAAAATAAATGAATTAAAAAAGTTACAATAACATTTTACCATCTCAAAAATAAATATAAAAATATATAGACACAATACTATATAGTATTATATGTGGTACTCTATATGTCTATATGAATATTGTCTTTAATAATATTGTGTTTAAGCCAGATGTGTCAAACATAAGGCCCGTGGGCCAAAACTGGTCCAAAGGGGGTTGCAATCCGGTCTGTTCAATGAAGGTTTTTTTTAAAAAAATGTTAAAAATATATTTCAATTAACATGAATATTTTTCTAATATACTTCAACTTCCTCGCATGGAACCCACTAGAACAACCTTTGTATCCAAGAGAACTTTCTCAACAGAAACAGTGTGTACACACTAGTACCCCCTAGTGGGGCATTAACTACTCTCACTGTTACCCACCTGGATTTTAGACTCCGGCAGTCCAGTCAAAGACGCGAGGGTCTCCTTCAGCGTGACGTCAGGGTAGTGTGTGACGCAGAAGGCGCGCTCCAGCTCACTGACCTGCGCCTTGGTGAAGGTCGTGCGCTTCCTGCGCGCTCTTTGCTGATCTCCACGATCCACTGTGGGGAGAAGACACGCGTTAAACTCTGTGGATAATCTCAAAAGAGCACAATATTCAGATGCGTTTCCGGTCCACCCACCTCTGGTCGTCTCCGGTGCACACCCGGCCGTGTTGTGTGTGTAATCCAGGTGCGCAGTGGACCAGAAAGGCCCCGCGTAAAAGGCGTTCATCTCAGCGGCGGTGAAATCCAAACCGAACGCCATGTTAAACCAACAGATGCGCAGACGAGGGTCACCTTCTCCAGGAGCTCCTTGTCGTCACACTGATGCCCTGACATGGGTGTAGAGGGGTTTTTATATTCTGTGACACCACCGGGGTTAGGGGGGTAACATACCCTGCGCACCACACCCAAAACGCGTGCCCTTTGATGTGTTGGTCACCTGTTAATGGCTGTAACTTGGGTAATAGGTGTGTGTGTGTGTGTGTGTAAGCAGACTCGTCCTGACGTAGTCTACATTAGTTTATAGAGTTTTGAAATGTTTTAAAGTAAAATACATCATCATAATAAGTTGGTTGGAAAAATATATATATTTTGGATGATGGATGTTGGAGATGGAGGCGAGGATGAGGTGGATGCAGCAGAGGACAGTCATGACGACACCACCGCTGCCTCATCAACAGAAAAATATTTAAAATTATAAATACATATATAGCTACTACATATATAATTCTACACTGCATCACTGTCTTATACACGTGGAGAGTAGACATGGATGTCACGGGTGAAAAATAAAAAGAAGAAAACGTAGCTATTCCAAATAAATAAATATATAAATATATTTAAAATAGTAAGTTACCTTTTAAAACATTTTAACAAGACTATTTATTTGTCATTTATTTTTAATGCTTTTTATTATACTTTGAATTATATTTTAACAACCTGACGTAAATAAAAGCCCGTCACCCAGAAAACACCAGTCTGTGAGAAATAAAAGTAAAATAAATGAATTAAAAAAGTTACAATAACATTTTACCATCTCAAAAATAAATATAAAAATATATAGACACAATACTACATAGTATTATATGTGGTACTCTATATGAAGTCTTATTGTCTTTAATAATATTGTGTTTAATCCAGATGTGTCAAACATAAGGCCCGTGGGCCAAAACTGGTCCAAAGGGGGTTGCAATCCGGTCTGTTCAATGAAGGTTTTTTTTAAAAAAATGTTAAAAATATATTTCAATTAACATGAATATTTTTCTAATATACTTCAACTTCCTCGCATGGAACCCACTAGAACAACCTTTGTATCCAAGAGAACTTTCTCAACAGAAACAGTGTGTACACACTAGTACCCCCTAGTGGGGCATTAACTACACCCACTGTTACCCACCTGGATTTTTGACTCCGGCAGTCCAGTCAAAGACGCGAGGGTCTCCTTCAGCGTGACGTCAGGGTAGTGTGTGACGCAGAAGGCGCGCTCCAGCTCACTGACCTGCGCCTTGGTGAAGGTCGTGCGCTTCCTGCGCGCTCTTTGCTGATCTCCACGATCCACTGTGGGGAGAAGACACGCGTTAAACTCTGTGGATAATCTCAAAAGAGCACAATATTCAGATGCGTTTCCGGTCCACCCACCTCTGGTCGTCTCCGGTGCACACCCGGCCGTGTTGTGTGTGTAATCCAGGTGCGCAGTGGACCAGAAAGGCCCCGCGTAAAAGGCGTTCATCTCAGCGGCGGTGAAATCCAAACCGAACGCCATGTCAAACCAACAGATGCGCAGACGAGGGTCACCTTCTCCAGGAGCTCCTTGTCGTCACACTGATGCCCTGACATGGGTGTAGAGGGGTTTTTATATTCTGTGACACCACCCTAACCCCCCAACTTCCCCTGCGCACCACACCCAAAACGCGTGCCCTTTGATGTGTTGGTCACCTGTTAATGGCTGTAACTTGGGTAATAGGTGTGTGTGTGTGTGTGTGTGTAAGCAGACTCGTCCTGACGTAGTCTACATTAGTTTATAGAGTTTTGAAATGTTTTAAAGTAAAATACATCATCATAATAAGTTGGTTGGAAAAATATATATATTTTGGATGATGGATGTTGGAGATGGAGGCGAGGATGAGGTGGATGCAGCAGAGGACAGTCATGACGACACCACCGCTGCCTCATCAACAGAAAAATATTTAAAATTATAAATACATATATAGCTACTACATATATAATTCTACACTGCATCACTGTCTTATACACGTGGAGAGTAGACATGGATGTCACGGGTGAAAAATAAAAAGAAGAAAACGTAGCTATTCCAAATAAATAAATATATACATATATTTAAAATAGTAAGTTACCTTTTAAAACATTTTAACAAGACTATTTATTTGTCATTTATTTTTAATGCTTTTTATTATACTTTGAATTATATTTTAACAACCTGACGTAAATAAAAGCCCTACACCCAGAAAACACATCAGTCTGTGAAACATCCTCTTTCCACTGAAGCTCGCGGCTTCCTGCTGCGCGTCACAGAGACAAAAACACACTCGGTAAAAGTGTGTGTGTCGTGGGAAGTGTATTGAAGGAGCGGCTGAAGTGTGAGGTTGGTATAATGTGCCCGAGGTGACAAACCGGGCTCCTCTCTCCTTTAAAAACTCTCTTCCCTGTCGGTGGCACTTCCACAGATCCAGACATCAAAACACCGGATGACGCGCAACCCCGCGCGTAGCCACTAGAGGGTGCCAGACTCCCGGAATAAAATATTTTTAGTTTTTTTCAAAGTTATATTTGTGGAGTTATTTTGTATATGTGTGTTGTATATTTGTCCTGTAGCGGCAGTCGTGGTCAGAAGAAAAAGCACGTGATGTGAAAATAAGTGATTTTTATGGAACGACCTGAAAACAATGATCGTGATGATGGACTAACATTAACAGTGAAGTGGTCATTGTTCACACCTACTGCGTCTGAGCCGCAGAGCTGCAGCTGACTGTCACATGACTGACTCTAACTACAGCGTGTCGATACCAGAACATCGATGCACGGTCGATACTGGGTCACATGCTTCTACTGCTGCACGGTCAACCCAAAACACCAAAGGATGATCGTATGGATGAAGTTCAACATGTTTTCACAAGTCATCCTGCAGTACATGTTACATTACGTACTTTAGAAGTAAATTTAAATGAATATTATATTATATTATTCATTTTGTATTATACATTATATTCCTTGCTCTGATAACATAAGAAATGCAAATCAAA